TCAAAAAAAGAGATACCTTTTAAAAAAATATACAAAAAATACTACAAAAACGAAGTGTGAAGTCAATGAATTCCTACCGCAAAAAAATAGGGGAATGTATTTGTCTAAAGCGTTAAAGTTTTAAAAATATTTTGGGAAAGTTATTATCAAAAGTAGAAGAAACGATCAAAAAAAAGAAAAAAGGCCAATGAGCCGTAATTTTTTAAAAAATGACCTTTATTAAGGGGAATAAAAAACATAAGTAGGCCCCAAGAAACAGATTATAAACAGTATTTTCAAAACAACATATTGTACCAACTTTTGGCTTATGCCAGATTGGCTTATTAAAAGGCTATTTCGTAAAATTAACACCTGTGAAAGAGAGCCTGAGAAAGCTCCCAAACCCAAAACCCCCAGAGACAAAGTTAGAAATATATTGATCAGAACAGACTGGTCGGTAACAACACACATGCCGAGAAAACACTGAGAAGAACAGCAACTCAAATGATCTGGTTCATCTAAATGAACAGTGTAGACCCTTAACACATGACCTTTCATTTTGAAACACAATCTGGCTCACCACCAAGGAAATGACTGTAATAAAGGGTAACTGTAGTTTGGAAAAATGGCCCCAAGAGTTCTCAAATGCACCCTTGCAATTACCCACACATAAATGCTTCCGCCAAAAAGTTATTGTTGAAAGCAAAGCCATGGTTTTTCAGAAATGAAATGACCTTAACAGATGCAATGACCTACTTTGGAGACCTGTGTCAATGATAACAGAAGACATAAAGGGTGAGGTTTATCAGCAATGAAGTAGCTCAAATATGGCTGTTGAAACATGAAATTCTGACCTGAGTGGGTTAATCACCTCTTCAAGTTCAAGAAGCTATCTGTATATTTATACCGACTGCCATAATGGGACATTTTATACAGTAGCTCGAGTGATGCAGAGAAGCTATTATAAGACTCATAATGTCTCTTAGCATTACCTGTTCAGGCTCACCTCACATACAAGTGGTGAATCATGTAACTCCTAGTAATCTAACACAGTGGTCTATAGTCTGGGGGGTGAGCCCCACTAAAGGAGGGGGAGAGGGTGTCATGATGAAGTTTAAGGGGGGGGGGGGGGGGGGGGGGGGGTACAACCAATGCTGAAACTGAGTGGTTTTGTACTCGTAATAATCTCCAATTTTCAGCTTTACCAGTCAGGAAAACAAATAGTGCTGCCAGCTTGATTGTAACAGACTCAGAAAGCATGCTGTGGAAGGTGACGATGGCATGCTTTGTGCAGAGTGGCACTGCTTCACTTATGAAGTCACGGATGAGGAGCATTGTCTGGATTTTTTCTACCGGTCATGCTGGTGTGTCAGGAAATGAACATACAGACAGACTGGCTGGCTCTGCACAACTTGGTGGAATACTGACTCATGATAAGGCAGCTGTAGTTAAGGCCTTATGGGAGCTTATGTACAAACCGAAGAAGCAAATGGAGCATCAGTCCAGTGAGAGTGATGCAGCGAGCAGTGACATGGGGATCTGGCTAATACTCAATGCTCCGAGGAAAGGCAATTTACTTTTATAATCAGACTGCTACTGAAACTGCGCTGGCTGCTGAAGATGGGGACGGAGAGCTTATAGGAATGTCTCAAGGGTTGTGAAGACAGTTCTTGAATGAATTCAACTCAACAAGAATATCCGGACATGAAATTACCAGTTGTTGGTGACTGTTTCTTACATTATTTGACACTCTGAATTATGTGTGTGTTTATCTAAAAGTTCTTGTTAACAGTACTTGAGATTTGTCTTTTTGTCACCACATTTTGTTATAAATGGCAGTTGAAGGAAGTCTTGTCATATACCTAAGCGTGTGCGACCTGAAAAAGGCTGGAGACCATTGATCTAACAGCTAGGGTTTAAACCAATTCAAGGTTGTCAGAGGGGACAATAATTGAAAGGAATTGTGACTGCAAATACTTCTTGCCAGGAAAAAGCAGTTTGTAACAATGACAGTACACACTGACTGTGTATGTATGGACATGTATGCAATCTACAGATGAGGCATACATCTTGATGCTCCACATTTCAGAGTAGTAAACTAGACAGGTCTACTTTCTTCAAGGGTTCCTGTGGCGAAGTGGTCAAACCATTAGCCTCGTGCTCTAGGGTTTAGGTTTAAACAACGCATCAACATCATGGCACATGGGTAGTAACCCATAAGTGCTCCGTTCTTCTTCCAACTCAAGCCTGAAACCGGAGAATCTCAGCGCTGTGCATGAGCTCTGTAACACCAGGAAGGATCCTGAAATACTTTAGGTGGACTTTTAACTCCAAATTTTGCCCGGGCTGCGCTGTTATACTACTCTTTTCGATTTCCAACTGCCAAAGAATTTTTTATGTAAGCAACAATACACATAGGCGTCCGATTTTAGTACTCAGAGAAAAGGGAAAATTACTAGATGTCCACGTGAAAATATTCAAGCCTTTACTGGGGGTCTGAACCTGGGACCTCCAGCACTTGAAGAGGACGCCATGCCCTGAGACCACTCAGCCTCCTCATGGTGCTCTATGGGTCATGGATTCATTTCCACCTGCATTGTTCGGTTTGTGAGAGCAATTTTACAAAGACCCTTGGGGATCATCACCTGTGTTCGTGCTTTGTGCGACCCATATGGCTCGTGGCTAGGCAAATGGGATAAAACCCATTGTAATAAAGTTGATAATCTCGAGTTTACTTAAATCTGAAACATACTTGAAATAATATAAAATGTATAAATAAATACTTTGAAAAATAATTCACAAACTTGGTTAAAGGGGGTCAATATTGAGAGTGACCAGAGACGCTGTCCTAGATTTCATATACAGAATAATCAAAAAGATTACACATTATTATGAGATTTTAAATGATGGCAGAGCAGAACTGAGGCATCTACTGTGAGCTCATGTGAAGTATAGTGGAAAACGGCACAACGTGATGATGAACTGTAGGAACAGTAGTAGCCAATGCAGGAAAGATGACAAGAAAGTTAGAAAGTTATATATAACCTATCAAGTACACATCAGAAAGAAAATATGGGGAGGGGGTTAAAAAAAAGGCAAGGTTTCTAATTCCCCCCCCCCCCCCTTTTCCCAATACTAAAATACTTCGGTAAGAGACATGTATTTTAATATAATTTAGCCATGCATTGAATTCAATACTGATATCATCTTTTAAATATGTTTACTGTATATTTCATATTATTATTATTATTTCAAGTATTTAGTATGTGTTTATATTTCTTTGCTATTTACATGATTATTATCATCGATGTGCTCAATGCAAATAAATATAACTGCTTAAAGTTAAAGCAATATGGATGTATAAACTTCTTTTAAAGACAACTTTTTATCTGGTTAAAATGGGCTTCGGCTCTCCTTGCACCTTTGGACGCTAGCTGGACGGCTTAGGTCGGCTTAGTGGGAGTTCTCTCCCTTGGCCGCATTGACAACAACGAGCGGAAAAGTCACAAATCAAATGACATACTTACCTATCATCATCCGGGTGCATGTAGGGTTGCGTACACCGTGTAGGGTTGCGTAGTCATCATACGGTTGCGTCTAGGGTTACCTATCATCATACGGTTGCGTGTAGGGCTGCGTAGGGTGTGGGTTGGGGTTAGGGATAGGGTTAGGGGTAGGGTTAGATGTGAAAATGGTGATGTAGAACGTCCAAATACTGGGCGACAATCTGATGCTTGTGGGAGTGGCGCCACTGGAAGTGTGCCAAATATGACGGCAATAGCGCGCGGCTGGTGCCTAATCGGTGGCGAATTGTCCGTGTCAGTAGCATCCACCGTCTGTCGACTGTTTGGGTGTGTATGTGACTGTGCGCGATTATAGGGAACTACGGCGTCAAAATTGTCACATCTAACGCTAAACCTAACCCTACCCCTAACCTTACCCCTAACCGTAACCCTACCCCTAATCCTAACCCTACCCCTAATCCTAACCCTACCCCTAATCCTAACCCTACCCCTAACCCTAACGCTACCCCTAATCCTAACCCTAACCCAAACCCTAATCCTACCACTAACCCTAACCCTACCCCTAACCACGCAAATTTATCGGTCATTAAAGCATACAGATCGGCGAAACACCAAAAAAAAAAAAAAAAAAAAGATTTCCCCGCAGCGTTAAAAGAAAAACCCAGATCTGGGGGACACAACCAAGCATTGGCAGCCCTGATGTCGACCTCACTGTCTTGTTTGATTCGTGACTTTTTCCGCTAATTGTTTTCAATGCGGCCAAGGGAGAGAACTCCCACTAAGCCGACCTAAGCCGTCCAGCTAGCGTCCAAAGGTGCAGAGAGAGCTTGGGGTTCTTTCAACATTAATTATTTTTGTTTTGGCATGTTGAATGTTGAATCAATATCACAGCACTCGGGACACACCCATATCATATTATGTTGGTCTGGCACTATCTATGTAACCCGCTACCCATAGTAGTATCTTACCGTTTTCTTTGCAGTATGCCACCCATCAGAATCGTCCATATATCCTTGCAAGAGAGTTGCCGCATTTGTTGCTATTTCACGAAGTTCCACATTACTTGGCATCTTCAGACTGACTCGGTCCCTTTCTGCTGGTGACTTCGGTACACTTTTCTTTAAAGTATCTGCTAAAACAGTAATAAATACACTGACTAATAACTAATAATACTGCTAGACAGATAGCTCTTATTTATTAACTAGCAAAATACTACTAGCATGTGCAACTTCCCAAAATCAAGTACATGTTTTAGTTTCACCGATAATCAAACGACAGCCACACAGAACTTGTGACCAGAAAAGTCAACATACTTTTAACACTTCGACTTTTTCTTCTCTAACACTTTGTAAATTATACGTGATTATCACAATTAAAAAAAAAAATTACATTAAAAATATCAAACTTAACCATCTACATGTATTCATTCTGGGACGATTAATGTTTAAAATATGTAATGTTCATGGCAAACTACTGGACGTAAATTTGCCTAGAAAAATCACACATTAGCGAGGGGCTGTTGGGGTTGGTTCTGCAACGTCTTGTAAAGGATGTGCAGCTAACCTATATGTCATGTTCAGTTAAATAACCACAAATATAACTGACTAGCATGTATATCCAATAAAAAATGGGAGAGAAAGAAAAAACTATAAAATAATATATATCCTAGTAGTAGTTATTATATAACCTTGACTTCACTGTTTAAACTACCACTACAACTACAACCAGTAATGAGTAATGCAAGTTTAGTAAGTAGTAAGTAAGTAACTGTCCCTTTTTCATGTCTTTAAACGTACTAGGCATATATGGCTAGACATATTTTATAGACTAATCTGTACTTTGTGGGTGATGTTGTCAACATCACGTCGGCCGCCTTTACTTCCCAAGACTTGACCTGGTACCTATTTAAGGGTAGGTCTACCTGGGTGCGAAGACCACCCCCACCACTATTACTACTACTATCATCACTACTACTATATTACTAAAACTACTACTTACTGTTTTTTAGTAAAAAAACATTTACAAATGAATATAAAATATTATTTACAGTATTATCTTACAAACAGATTCCCAAAAACCAGATGCAGATAAACGCCTCAAAAATGCAAGTAGAACAAGACCGTTTAACTTTTTGTGAGAAGTGAAATGAGTGGTTGTCGCTAACACAGCAGTTATCAGTGAGTGAACGCTTGATAAGGCAACAACAAAAGTAGCCAGGCAAACACAGAAACACGCTTCGTTAAGTTTATAGGGACTTGCCTTAATCACGTGATAGCGTAACCTTTTCATTATCAGCAAGTTGCGTGTTCAGAGTCGCCAATTTATCCGTTTCGTTTTCTTCCAGTTCTGTTGTGTTTGCTCTGACAGAAAGATAGGCACACTGTGATGTGGTTTACAGCTTGGCTGCGATATTTGTTACTTTTGATCCAGCACGTTCAATTTCAGTTCGTCTTTTAATTAGTCTACCTTTAACGACAAACTCTCAAAGGAGCAGTGGGTATATCCCCCTCCCCCCCCCCTTTTTTTTTTCTTTAATCACCTACAAAGGAGCCTTTGAAACTACACAGAGTGCTACCCGTTTGAGAACCTAGGGATTCATTGTCATCTAGCAGATCACGGGATCGAATCCTCACCGCGGCAGAATTTCTAAAATTGATATGTTCCCCCAGGTCGGCCCAGCCTTAAAAAAATGGGTACCGGGCGAAAAGTCACGAGAAGCAAAGGTGACCGCAGTAACACTTGGCTTCCTTGCCATATGAATGGCCATTGTATACAAGCATGGTGCTACCCAAAGTATTTAAGGATCCTCGTCGGTCCTACAGAGCATGTGCACTGTGCTGAGCTTCTTCGGGCTCAGACTTGAGTTAGAAGAAGAACGGAGCACTAATTGGTTACTTACTACCTGTGTGTCATGATGTTGATCCGTTGTTCAAACCTTCATGGTGCTTACAAGCTTATTCCAAATTCGCATCACATCGTGAAACGCATTTATTAAATATATGAAGGTTCGGATTTAGACCTGATGAGGTTCAAAGGTATACAGAGTCCTGAGGCCCCTATTGTTTTAAATTACACAAGGTAATCGCATAAAGGTTTAAAACTTAGGCTTTTATAAGAATTTTAAATATAATTGAAATATTTTGTCATTCAATTATTAATTAAAAGAAATAATAAAGAATATATTTATGTAAGTTTTACCCCACCAGGACAACACACAAGCGATAAACACCGGGGGAGACAAAGTACCACCATGTGGATGGGGATCACCCGTGGAGAGGTCCTAGAAACCCTGTTCAGCCGTTAGGCCATATTTCAGGCCCGGCTATATTTAGGGCCCCCTGCAAAAGTCAGGGTGAGGCTACGAAGTATCTAAAAATTGCATACCACAAGGAAATTGCGAGATTAACAGTGTAATGTAATCTAATGTATGCCCCCCGCCCCCCCCCCCCCCCCCAGAGAAAATTATAGTATATAATCCTCTAAAAGGCTTTAAGTTACAACCTTTGCATCTGTAGGAAAAATAAACTTTGTTATGGCTATGCAGATGTGTGGCTCTAAACGGTTGCTTATACCTTAACCCAGCACTGATAGATAGATAGATAGATAGATAGATAGATAGATAGATAGATAGATAGATAGATAGATAGATAGATAGATAGATAGATAGATAGATAGATAGATAGATAGATATAGATAGATAGATAGATAGATAGATAGATAGATAGATAGATAGATAGATAGATAGATAGATAGATAGATAGATAGATAGATAGATAGATAGATAGATAGATAGATAGATAGATAGATAGATAGATAGATAGATAGATAGATAGATAGATAGATAGATAGATAGATAGATAGATAGATAGATAGATAGATAGATAGATAGATAGATAGATAGATAGATAGATAGATAGATAGATAGATAGATAGATAGATAGATAGATAGATAGATAGATAGATAGATAGATAGATAGATAGATAGATAGATAGATAGATAGATAGATAGATAGATAGATAGATAGATAGATAGATAGATAGATAGATAGATAGATAGATAGATAGATAGATAGATAGATAGATAGATAGATAGATAGATAGATAGATAGATAGATAGATAGATAGATAGATAGATAGATAGATAGATAGATAGATAGATAGATAGATAGATAGATAGATAGATAGATAGATAGATAGATAGATAGATAGATAGATAGATAGATAGATAGATAGATAGATAGATAGATAGATAGATAGATAGATAGATAGATAGATAGATAGATAGATAGATAGATAGATAGATAGATAGATAGATAGATAGATAGATAGATAGATAGATAGATAGATAGATAGATAGATAGATAGATAGATAGATAGATAGATAGATAGATAGATAGATAGATAGATAGATAGATAGATAGATAGATAGATAGATAGATAGATAGATACACACGTCATTAGACTTTAGTACAAATTCACACATGCAAAAAAGGTGAACAAATTCACCACTCAAGCCACCCGAGAAACGCAAGACAAATAAGAAAACTACGTCACTAGGCTACAATCTGGTATCAGCGAGATGAAAAAAAGAAGAAAACCTTTCGTGATATCCCATTGGGAAGGGGATTAAAAGTGCGGGGGGGGGGGGGTGTAAGGAGGAAGGGCACGCTTGACTGGAAACGGAACGAAATAGTTTAGGAAAATTGGGTGAAGAAAATTTAAGTGTCAATAAGTACACGCCTATCTCAACCATGCGTCAAAAGGTCTTTGATAGAACTTTATTGTTTCATTGTTTTCGTGTGTGGTGATAGTGGCTGGGAAAAAGGTAGGGGGGGGGGGGGGGATTGCACATGTAGAATATAGAGAACGTCTTCTTATTATTATTCTTCTTGTCCTTTTTCTTCTTCTTCGTTACGTTCTCAGGCTGTAAACTCGTGCGGAAAATTACTAATATAGTTTCTCGTCCACTTCTAAACTTTGGTCTCGTTCCAGAACTTGAGTTTTGCGTGCATAGCCATTTTACAAATGTGGCTTACTTGTAAGAAGACTTTTAGTTCCTCAACTCTAAGTCAGATGCACTCCGACTTGGAAGGAAGTACCCCTAACTAGTCGCCATTCACAACTTGCATGTAAGGGGAAGTGGGTCTATTTTTGTTTTGCTCACAATGGGGCCCCAGATCCACGGGTTGGGCGGGGGGGGGGAAGGGGGGGGGGGGTTCCTCATGCCTTGTCGACTGAACAGATTGTTAGACTATGAAAGGCATACGTGTTATCAATTGGGTTATCCTCAAGAAACTCAGGATATATAAACAGATGGTCAACTGTGGCGGCTCGTTGCTAAAATTAGCCAGGATGCTGCTTCCGAAAAAACAAACTTTTTTAATATTATCTAAAATGAAACAAGCATAAAATGAAAATGTATACACAAGCTTGACACAATAAAAAAAAAAAGATAAAGTAAAGGACCCTTTTCCACGCAGTATATAGGGCTAGACCATAATTTTATAGACCAATCGGCACAAGATGGGTGATGTGGTCAGCATCACGTCGGCCGCCATTACTTCTCGGGACTGCACCCGGTACCCACTCAAAGCTGGGTCGAACTGGGAGCCAAGGTCATTTTGAAAAAAGTCCGGCTCCGCCAAGGAGCGAACAAACGACCTTCTGATCCGCAGCGAGCGTCTAGCCGCTCCGCCACGGCGACTCCCAGCTTGACAAAATCCCAAACAAAAACTGTTCGGCTCATACCACTGGCTGTGTACAGAGCCTGCCTTGGCCCGACGTATAATACTAAAAGAATCACAAAGCACACACGTTTGGAAATATTCCTGTGATTTCAGTTGCATGAAAGTTGAAAGTTCGTGTCACCGCCACTATTGCCCTCGTCATGTTGCTGGTAGTCACGGAGAAGGTATCACAGGCCTCCTTGACTGTTTTGCACGCAGAAGGTGCTTTGGACGTCCATGCACTTTTGTTTTTGCATTATGGATCTGACTGTATTTCATGTCTAGGAGCTCGTGGGCCGAAACGTTTGTCGACGAGAGATTACTTCTACTGACGATTGGTAGAC